AGACTGTGAGAGGGCACAGGCCGGGCTGACGGACCCCCCTTTCCCCACCGAGTGCACAAATTTTTGTGCCCTGGGCCTCTAGTTACTTTATAAAAGCCAACAAATGTAACCATTTAAAAGCTGAAGTATTTGTAGATTTTACATATCATCAATAAATTTTCAAATATATCCATACTAAGTGAAATGATAAACTTACATAAGAAAAACATGCTATCAGTGTCTATAGAATTAAATAAAATTACTCCATTAATGAATGCCTACGTTATTGATATAAACTGAGAACCATGAATACACACACTTATCATAACAACCCACAAGAACACTAACCATTACAACAATTACCATAGAAAATCAGAGACTCAACTTATTTTTCTTTTACCTTTGAAGAACTCAGCAAAAAAGTCTTATAAAGACTCATATTTAAAAAAAGAAAAATTTTGACTGATTAGGAGAGCCTTCAGAGCATTTCTACATATATGTACATGGTAATGTCAAACAGTTGAGCCTGCAACTACCCTGCTATTGTTCTGTACCTGATAGACAAATGATCTATTTGAACACAATAACCTTCTGCTCAATCATGGAGATCAAGTAACATAGAATCCAAAGCGGAACAACTCCAGTGGTAGCAATCTCTCCTGGAAAACATCTGCTACCAGCTGAGTGTGTTTACACTGTGGCAGCACCGGCAGATGTGCTTAGAGACAGCCCATCTGTGTGATGATGGGAGGTTGGAGGAAGCTGGGCTGGACGGACAGCAGGGAGAGAGCTTACGGTAATATACTGAGTTGCTCTAGAAATGCAAATTAGCACCTCATTGTATTTTGTTCCCTTTCCTGTGCTATTAGTGTCTTAATGCTAACTAATTTGTGTGCATTACTTATAATGAGCAATAAAGTTTACCTTTGGGATTGCTCTTAGGAATTTAGCCATGATACGATTAATTGTTTAGAGAGAGTAATTGTTAATGTAAAAATTAATGTAAAAAGTTTAGAGAATAAATGCCAGTTTAAATTATTTTTATATTTGAAAATATTATTAAGACAATATTTTTGGTCCATGGGAAGAGATAGCACTGAATAAAGTCAGCATCAGCCTTTCTAAAACTGCAGCTCTTACCTGTTATCTTGTATTTTGTTTGTTATCTGCAAGTGCTAGCCCAAGTATGGTCTGTAGAACATAATTTCATACTCTACAGAAGTGATGTGTAATCTATGACTTTTTAAATAATAAAAAAAATCTTTATTATAAAATTTCTCAGATTTTTGTTATGTTAGTGCATTTTCTGAATCTCCAAGGGAGAAATATTACAGAATTGTCACTAACTGAGGCATTTTTGTAGATCATGTCTACTTGAGAGATTTTACTTGGGTGACTGAATTAGAAATCAGCAATCTAGAAGCAAAAAAAGAGGAGATATTTATATTGGCATTCAATTCTTTCACATAATTTATTTGTTGAGATTTCAGAACTTAAGCAATGAAGTGACCAAAAACTTTTTTAAATGGATGGAACAATAACTTTATTCCTATATTTGAAATTTTTTTTTTAACTTTCATGGGCTTGTGCACAATGAAGTTAGTATATAGGGGGAATCATTAAGCAATCCCCTTTATTTGGAGATGAAGTTATTTCCATTTCAAGCCAGAAAGAGAAACTAGGTTTTACTTTTAATTAATATAAAACGGATGAACTTAGCTATCTGCACAAGTTCAAACTTAAGATATTTCTGGAAATAGTTGCTAATAGAGATTAATCAAACACTCAAATTCAATCAAAATGTTTATGGAGGAACCTCACAATTAGACTTTAAAATAGCTATGATATATTTTGTAACACATAAAGTCAGATTCTAACATAAGTGCAATCCATCTTGTATGAAAAAAATATATAAAAATTTGGAGAAAAATTTGGCATTGTTTATACAGCACTATACAGGGGGAAAACCTCTGAACTAGAAGGCACACATATTGTCATTAGAGATAATACTTCTATGTAGGGCAGGGGCCATTTATTACACTATCCTAAAGCCTATATTATATATCCCTCCTATGTACACACCTATACTTTTGAGCTGTGCTCATTACAAAAAATAAATTATTTGCAAACTTAAGTTTTCTAGGGCACTTCTTGCCAGTTTAAAAGAGGCAGCATGGCCTGTGGGATGGAGAGTCAGGGGTAAGGGGTAGAGGGGGTCACTGGGGGGGAAAAGGGAATATCTGTGATACTTTCAACAAAAAATGTGATGGTTAAGACAGTGGACACTGAAGTCAGACTGACCACTTGGGTTCAAATACTGATTCTCTCACTTCTGAACCGTGTGACCTTCAAAACACCCAACCTCTCATTTAATCTAATCAGTATTACTGGAATATTCGCAATATCTATCTCATAGGTTTATGATAAGATCTGATTACATCCCCAGAATAGAGAGGAATGACCCCAGAGTGTATGGATATTTGGAATTAAAAGGTAATTACGCAGATATAAATAAGATTAATATTCATTAACCATTGTTAATGATTCATGATTCACTGTTGGTCCCTAGCAAATGTTTCAAAATTACAGAATGCTAAAAGTGACCCTATGTAATAATTTCTGGAGAAAATAGTGCAGAGTCTGAAAACAAAGATGAGAGGATTTAAACATGTAGTTTTCCAGAATCATCTCCTGGAAGGGAACTGCAAACTCGAAAATTTGAAATCACAGATCAAAGAAAAGCCTTAAGAATGTGCAGTGTGGGGAGAACCAAGATGGCGGCATAGGTTAACGCCAGAGTTTGCTGTCTCGAACAACCACTTCAAAAGTGAAACTAAAAGATGGAACAGACATCACCCAGAACCACAGGAACGCTGGCTGAGTGGAAGTCCTACAACTAGGAGGAAAGAGAAACGCATACGGACACTCAGAGGAGGCGCAGTGCTGAAGTCAAATTCTGAGGTGCGGAGTGCGCGGAGCGGGCTGGCGGCGGAGGGTGCGGTTGGCGTTTTCAATCGGGAGGGAGTTGCAGACGCTGAGCTCCAGATCCAGGCGAGTCTTTAGGGACCCAGACTCAAACGGGAGAAGCGGGACTGTCTGGCTTCGGTCGGAGCAAGTGCAGCTTTCTCTCCGAGGTTTTCAGCGGTTGCTGGGACTCAGAGAGGTAGAGCCCCTGGGGACAGGACTGAGAGCAGCCATAACTGCTCTCTCCGGCCCACCCTGTTGATCCTGTGCGACCCACCCGCCCCGCCCAAGCCCTGCACAGAGGCATTTGCCGGATAGCCTCAGGCAAACGCCAGATTAGCACCTCCCTAGAGGACAGAAGTTCTCTCACTGCAGACACAGCTGATTCTCACAGCCACTTGGCCTGGAGGTCAAATCCCCCCTAGTATTAGCTACAACAATCAAGGCTTGACTACAAGACTGCACACAAAGACCACTAGGGGGTGCACCAAGAAAGCCTAACAAAATACAGAGACAAAGAAACAGGACAAAATTGTCAATGGAAAATATAGAGTTCAGAACCACACTTTTAAGGTCTCTCAAGAACTGTCTAGAAGCCGCCGATAAACTTAATGAGATCCTCGAGAAATCTAATGAGACCCTCGATGTTGTGATAAAGAACCAACTAGAAATTAAGCATACACCGACTGAAATAAAGAATACTATACAGACTCCAAACAGCAGACCAGAGAAGCGCAAGAATCAAGTCAAAGATTCGAAATGCAAAGAAGCAAAAAACACCCAACCGGAAAAGCAAAATGAAAAAAGAATCCGAAAATGCAAAGATAGTGTAAGGAGCTCTGGGACAGATTCAAGCGTACCAACATCAGAATTATAGGGGTGCCAGAAGATGAGAGAGGGCAAGATATTGAAAACCTATTTGAAGAAATAATGACAGAAAACTTCCCCCACCTGGTGAAAGAAATAGACTTACAGGTCCAAGAAGCGCAGAGAACCCCAAACAAAAGGAATCCAAAGAGGACCACACTATCATAATTAAAATGCCAAGAGAAAAAGACAAAGAGAGAATCTTAAAAACAGCAAGAGAAAGAAACCCAGTTACCTACAAGGGAATACCCATACGACTGTCAGCTGATTTCTTAACAGAAACTTTGCAGGCCGGAAGGGAGTGGCAAGAAATATTCAAAGTGATGAATACCAAGAACCTACAACCAAGATTACTTTATCCAGCAAAGCTATCATTCAGAATTGAAGGTCAGATAAAGAGCTTCACAGATAAGGAAAAGCTAAAGGAGTTCATCACCACCAAACCAGGATTATATGAAATGCTGAAAGGTATCCTTTAAGAAGAGGAAGAGGAAGAGGAAGAAAAAGGTAAAGATACTAATTATGAACCACCAATATGCATCTATCAACAAGTGAATCTAAGAATCAAGTGAATAAATAATCTGATGAACAGAATGAACTGGTGATTATAATAGAATCAGGGACATAGAAAGGGAATGGACTGACTATTCTTGGGGGGGGAAAGGGGTGTGGGAGATGCGAGAAGAGACTGGACAAAAATCGTGCACCTATGGATGAGGACAGTGGGTGGGGAGTGAGGGCGGAGGGTGGGGCGGGAACTGGGAGGAGGGGAGTTATGGGGGGGAAAAAGAGGAACAAATGTAATAATCTGAACAATAAAGTTTTAATTTAAAAAAAAAAAAAGAATGTGCAGTGTGTAAGAAACCATTGACCTCTCTAGCCGTAAAGCTGTAGTGACTAGCTGACAGCAGTTAGCAGGACTATAAACTGAGTAGAAATGACTGTAACTTGTGTAACATTCTATTCCTTCAACTAAAAACACAACGCACCACACTTAAAATTGTCAAGAATTTCCTGATGTTCATGGGCTTTTGATTTTGTTCAGTCTCGTGCATACTCTTTAAAATAAATGCCAAATTGCCAATGGCTGCAGGTGAGAGGCAGGGAAGACAAAGGCATTAGCTAAACTATGACCTTATATTGATGTATAAAGTAAAAGCAGGGCTTGGATATAAGAAATAAGAGAAAAATTGGAAAAAAAAGGATTTAATTTATTTTACAATATTACAAATGATAAAACAGTAACACCCAATTGCTCTACATAAACAATAGGAAAACAGTGTTGAACAGAATGAATTTGACAGAATAAACCTCAGCTTTCATTTCCACAAATTATATAAGAAATATTCAGTAGCAATTATTCTGTGCAGCAATGCTATCTTTGTAAACTTTTTTTCCTGCTATATACATTTGAACCACTTGTGCTTTTGCCTACACAAAGAAACCATGTCTATTAAAAGGTGCTACTTAAATGGGAGACACAGGGCCTGAAGCCACAAGCTGAAAACTGCAATTCAAATACATTGCCAGCATGAAGACTTTTTTTTTTAATTTTAAAGTTTTCTTTTTATTTAAGATTCCGACAGACTAGACCCTTATTGTAACTCTAGGTATGAGCAACACACAATTCAGTTATAAAGTAGATACCTCTTAAAGCAGGTTAGTAACTGAAGTCTCAAAAGGACTTCTTCATTCTAAAGTGGTCTTATCTCCAGGGTGCTTCACAGTGCGGCCCTGAAGATGTTAGCATAACACAAGTCTAGTGTGTGTATATTTCAGACTCAGTGTGTATACACACAAACACACATATATAGCATTGTATATATGCATCACACATGTCTATTTGTACTATATAGATATATCTATAGCACATATATAATAAAATATCTATTTCTAGGTGGTCTTTATTTGGATTTTCTTTCATTAAATACTAGTACAAGCAATATCCTCCCCTCACTCAATCTTTAAAACATTGGTATATGGATCATGTCTCTTGGGGAAATTTCACACCTGTAGAGGTAACTAATTCTATTTAACTCTTCCTACACCCCTTCCACAATTATAGCTACTTCCAACAATAACCACGTGAAAACAACTCTTTTATGAACCAAATACCACATTGTGTGCATTGTGACTGACTCGCTCAATCAGAAATAAATTATTTTGTTCACCCTTTTCCTGTGTAGTAGCTTAATAACTAGTTGGTATGTACACTACCCATAACATATAGAAGGCAGCTATGCTCACCACTATACCACCAATGCAAACATAGCGTCATTGAAATAAATTGCTTCTATAAGCGTATATGTAGAAATTCCCGTTAGCAATTGATACACACTTCATATGATACACAATACATAAATACATTTGAATGCTCAGCACCTTCCGATAGAAAAACTTCCACAATAATTTCAGCAGTCCTTTGGGCTGAATAATTAATTAGAATTGCCCAGAAAATCTGTTACTGATTCTTATTTTTTTATTCTAGCAACTTAATATTAATAATAGAACAAGCTGGGTGATAATGATGAACAGGTTTCCATGGCCTACTCATGTCAACAGCACAGTAACAACCATGTTCTCTGAAGGACAGGAACCTTTTTTTTACAATCAGCTGCCTGAGCATTGCCAGGTACTGGGTTAAATCATAACAAAGAAATAAAAAACTAAAGCCGTGAACATATAATAGTACAAAAGAAAAAAAGCAAGTATTTCAAGTATGCATTTATAATTAGATCTTATCATGATCCCTTTTGCCCCCTTATTGGTTAAATCTCAGTGATTTTCTTATTCTTGCTGTCAGCTCTCAGTCATCTCCTTGCCCCATTAAGGCCACAGTAGATCTTGAATCGGGAGGCATGGATGGAAAGGTTTACGATAGGGAATGAAATGATCATGTACAGTTTGTATGCTTTGAACACTTGATGCCTTAATTGAATTCATTCTTGAGTATTGAAAGCTCCCTGAGATGAACAAAAGTAGTCTCAGTTGATACTGAAGCCCTTTTTTATATGCCAAACATTTTCAGAACTGGGCAACGTATTTAGAGAACAGAAAGCATAGGGTAACAAAGCAAGGTGAAGCTAAAAAGGCACTACTCAATGCATCTATGAAATAAACTTCAATGCACAGAACAGTGAATGGCTGGGACGCTTTTGCTGTGGCCTTAAAATTGTTTAAATACATTTGTCTAAAATGCAGTAAAAATGGCAAGGTACTTTGCTGATGCTTTTTAGGACATACTTTAAATAAGTTCTGAGGTTAATTTTACATACAAATTTTGACTTCAAAATTTCTATAGAATTCAATTAAGGACTACTCAAACAACTTATTCACAAATGGTGGAAATTAAGATTCTATAAACCACCTACCTATTTTTGATTTATTAAGTCCATCAGATTTTTAACTTTACATTCATAACATGTGCCTAATTTTTTTTAAAATTCCCTAAAGAGATTAATGACAAAAGTACGTATGTTCTATCCATTTGTAGCTAAGCATCTCCTTTATTTTATTTTGTTTTCTTAGAGACACATGAATTCTCAGAAAATATAGTCTCCCATATCACACAGTTCTAACATATTTTTAAATATAATACCATATATCATTAATATATTAAGAACTGTACTGAGAATATCTTTTTTCGTGATTTCATATACATTCCCCATGCTATTTATTCTTTTTTTTTCAGAGTGTCTTCTCTAAAAAACAAAGCATACATACTCTGCGTGCTATTCTTCTTTCTTCAGACTGCCTTGCCTAAAAAACAAGAAGTCAACTGAGTTGTTTCAGACCAAGAGTAGAAGTGGAAACAGAGCACTTCTGCTTTCAAAAGAAACAAGTTACCATCAGAATCACCGACCAGCGTAGCACGCGTTACCAGTAAACAGGTCTACTGGTCAATTCTGTTACATGCTCACACATCCTAACTCACTTTATTAATAACTTCATGTGCTTCTTTGAAAACATACTAATATGATAACATTGAATAAATTTAACCCCAGAAAAAAATGTTGGTCAATTTAATTCATTCAAAGTGCAAAATACTGACATACAGTTCCATTGTTAAACCTATTAAAATGAATCATCTCTGTAATGGAAGCAACACTCATTAGTTATTTCTGCACTGAGAAAACTTATGCTATAAAGAGCAGGCCAATCTTTCTATTTGAATAGGGGGATATATCAAATAACTGGAAGTCACATTTCATCCCTATCAGGCAAACATTTATTGTTAAAGGGCAAAGTGCTTCCACAAAATTATTATGAAATGTAAACACCATGGAAGTCTTCCTTCAAATAAAAATAAAGTTTGAGTTTTGAAAATTGAAAATATCTAGAGAGAGCTTTCACATTAACAGAATAACACAGTAATATATTATTTCCATGAAAGGAAAATGGTTTGTCGTGTAGAAACATCAGTATAATCTTTGGTACCAAAAGTACATTTTTTTTCAGCTAATATTATACCACCTTAGGTGACATAGAACATCTTTTCTTTAGAATGGTTCAAGATTACTTAATGGTACAGTTTAGCTGGTACTTTCTATACCACTGGAAAAACATCTGGAGGTTTAGAGTTGTGCAAAATAAAACTTTTTTTACAAAGTCATTGTGTGACTGCTCTTTAAAAATTTAAGAAGTTTAAAAATGACCACATGGAGGTTATTTATCTCATTCATATTTGTCTTAGAAAGGATTTCTAAACACCCCAAACCAAAAGAGATTCCAGACAAAAAAACAGAAACGTAAAATTCATGATCAGACTCAGAGTCCTGACTGAAGGCATTTACTTGAGTTGTTTAATCTTGTGTATTTCGCTGCTCAGTTTCCATCTTCATATCTGCTGACAAGGATGGTTAATTTCCCCAAGGGCTGAGTTATGTTCCCGCTGTTCCTCTTCTCATGTGCTTGGCATCGCAGAGGCAGCCCGACAGTGACGAACATCTTTGTTTCAGTAACTAAGGACAAGTGCATTGTTGGATCTTGTAAACACTACTGATTATACATTCAAACTGTGTTCTTCGTGGAAGTGGCACTTACTAGGACCCTTGAAGTCAACATATTTAAATTTTAGAGCACTTCACAGGTATTTCATCAGCTGGTAGTGGATTTCTCATGAATGTCCTTGATCACCTTTCAGGTAATTGGTGGATGCTGAAACCCAGTCGTGTTTTGGATCCTATTTTCAGATCTTAGGAAGCATCTTCAGAAAAGAAGTGCATATTCAGTTTGTCTGTTTTCAAATGTGCTTTATTGCTTTACACACTTCCCTGTTGTCAGTTTCAGAGCTCCTCTATTGTGTAGCACATTTAAGGTTTTGAATTCTAATGGCATTCTGTGAGGACTTGCATTAGAAAAGTACCTATATTTTAAGTCATCATAGTAATGATATTTGACCGCTTTTCCATTCAAATCCTTAGGGAAAGGCCAGAATCCATACAGGTGAATTTCATCACAGAATCTTGTGGCAAGTGTATACATGAGGAGACCTGTACTAGGTCTTTTGATGGGAACTTTGTTTGTCAGCCAGTAACTGGAAAAAACAACAGCACACACACACACAGAAAAGATAATTTAGAGAAACATACAACATAGACTATATCAAATATACTATGAAGAATTAAAGTAAATGAAATTTGAAAAGTATCTTTATAAATAATACACAAAAGATTACTGAAGAAATATATTTATAAGCATTTAGAATACTAATATATTTATTTTATTATATTGCTAATTTTTGAGGTCATATAGTTAGCCAGGGTACCTGAAATGTAGGTAAATATTGTTGTGTGATCTTGTATTAAAATAAATTAGTAGCAAACATTTATATACAGACTGGAATCTTCTCAGAAAGTGTTAAATATGTTGAGAAAGGTATAGTAAGTGGGCAGTGACTAAGTAATCTCCTGGATAAAGAGAATTTGAAACGATGCTTATAGTTTTTCAAAACCTCATATTTAACTTAAAAACCCAAATAAATAAATGCTTTACCTGCATTATACTAATTTACTTCTTCAACTTCAATTGTCCAAGTCATATATTATCAAGGCTAATTAAAAACATTGCCTCAACCCACAGAAGAACAACATAAAACATATATTTGCAACTAATTCACCATTTATGCAGTTTAACATTTTGTAAAATTGGTAAAATATATGTCAGTGCTAATAAGTATTTTATACTCTTCATTTTAAAAGGCACTAAAATACTCCAAAATGTTATGACCCATCATTGTTGCCACCCTTGGTTCCTTTGAAAAGCATGCAAACTCAGAAGTTAATCAGCACCTCGGTATGGAAGGGGGCTTCCAATAGTTCTTGAGATATTCATCATCTTACGTGTAACCTGCTGAAAGAGTACGGGTACCGATGTCCCCCTACTTTCAAAGTTGTCCAATAATAAATTGCCTGTTTTTAAAATATGTGTGTTAATTAATATCTCCTATTTGAGGAAATATATTTCTGCCATCCAGATGTAAGGGGGAAATTATTAGATTTTGGTCACAGTTGTATTTAAATGCTTGGCTTAGATTTTTATATATTATTATTTCCATTTAAAAAATAATTCATGAAGCTTTTCAGGGAAGAGCAAATAGATTTAGACTATTGAATATGAAAAAAAACCCACAAAATTTTATTTTACTTTATTTGATGGATACATAGTGGATTTTCAAACCTCACTCCAACATCTCAAACAGGAAAAGGAAATACACTTTGCCATTATTGTTCCTTTTTTTTCCTTTGTACCCCTCTTTAAGCCAGAAGTGACCTTTTACATTTTTATTTTTCTTGGGGTGAGGGCCACATGCTGAACGTGTTAAGCAATGTGAAATGCATCACTGACCTTTTGTTATTACAAGTGTTTTAAGAAAGCTTATCCTTCAATAAAGAAGGTTCATAAGGAATTTACAGAGAAGAACATCTAAACATTGTTTCACAACCCAAAGGTAGCTGAATGAGCAAAAACTACACAATGCATATTGGTAACACCATGAGGGAACCCAGCCGTTGATTCCATGCCTACAGTTTGAATACATTGAAGAAGCTGGTTCAGCCTGCAGTTGGTGGTTGTACGTATATTTGAATACATTAAAAACAAAAACAAAACTGTACACTTAAAAAAATTGATTATTTCCATCAGGGAGTGCCAATGATTTGGAATAATTTGGCAGTATGAAGGTCATGCTAAATTATGTGTTTTAATCTTATTCTAAGATGAGAAAAAAAATAACTACCAGGCAATAATATAATGTTATATTATTTGTATAGGAATGAAAGATCACATTAAATATGACTCCATGGGTACATTATAAATAGATGCTTTTCATTCCTTAATTCTGGTGAGATACGCAGGGATCCACTTAAATATGGTTGGTCATAGACAAAATACCAAAGCAACTCCTATATGTAATACAAATAAGCAACTCTAATGTTAGAAATGCTGAAGGCAAAATTATTGGCCTATTTCAAAATAATGTCAGAGGTGAACAATCACTCAACATTTTTAGATGCAGGCACCTTATAAGATAGCACAGACAGTTAGTGAGGTTGACCTCTTACCCCCAAGTACCTGACATCTAAATGCAGATCAGACAAATGAACATTATGGAAGGTCAGCACATCCAGAAAAACATAATAGAAAAATATAATTCTTGAGATAATCGTCAATTCACTGTGACTTCAGTGAGGAATTTATGGAGCAAATTAATGTTTTAACTTTTTAATAGGTAGGATATACCTAGAATATTAATTAATTAATATTAATAAAAATTGTGTTCTGAAAACTAAATTCTGATCACAAAGCATCTTATCTATATAATAAATGCCTAAGCGACCATTACAGTGGAACGACCAGAACGACCGGTTGCTATGATGCGCACTGACCATAGGGGGCAGACTCTCAATGTAGGAGATGCCTCCTGGTGGTCAGTGTGCTCCCACAGGGGGAGCACCACTCAGCCAAAAGCCGGGTTCACGGCAGTGCTAAGGAGCAGTAAGCCAAGGAGTAAGGAGCCTGCTGCTAAGAAGCATCAAGCCAAGCGGTAAGGAGCGAGCATGTGGGCAGTAAGGAGTGAGAGATCCCAGGTTGTAAGAGGGATGTCCTCCTGCCGGCTTAGGCCCCATCCCTCTGGTAGGCGGACATCCCCCAAGCAGTCCCGGACTATGAGAGGGTGTAGGTTGGGCTGAGGGACACTCCTCCGCCCCTCCCCCCGAGTGCCTGAGTTTGATGCACCTGACCTCTAGTCTATATATATAAGGACCCATGATGTGCATTGACCACCAGGGGGTAGATGCTCAACACAGGAGCTGCCAAGCTGTGGTGACTTTGCATCTGCAGTTCTTCCGTGACACACCAGAACCAGAGAGGAGGGAGCCTGACTCTGGGGTGTGTCACTCAAAAAACACCCTCTCACAATCTGGGACCCCTCGGGGGATGTTGGAGAGCTGGTTTAGGCCTGATCCTCGAGGGCCAGGCCTAGGGACCCCACCAGTGCGCGAGTGTGTGCACCGGGCCTCTAGTTTGTAAATAATGGGTAGAGATACTTTAGAAACTTCCTGTATTCTCATCTATGCCATTAAAATAATACTGGTATTAATAAACTTTCCTTTAGAAATGCTAACAGAAGGAGAAATTAAGCTTTGTAATGTTTGGCTTGTAACAATTTGAATAATCCAAAGAAATATAAATTACTCATTTTTCAGGACATTAAACACACACACACACACACACACACACACACACACAAAATAAATGCACTTATCCTATTGAATTCTAAAACAAACAAACAAAAAAAAACACACAAGAAAACAGACCTTAATAAATGATATCAACATGCAACAGATAAAAAAACAAAAAATCCTTAAAGCAGGTCAAGAACTAAAGTCATAGTAATAACATTTTGTGAAATTAAAAAACGTAATAGCTATCAAATACAGTAAGAGTCTACTATGTGCTTATGAAAAATCTAACCTTGTGCTTGAAACTGTATAGGCCAACCTAAATGATCAGGATTCAGCATTTGTCCATAAACAAATTCCACATGTGAAAATAACAAAAATAATATTCTTTTAAAATTCTATTAGCATTATCAGATAATTTTGGTCAACTTTATAATCCAAAGCCCAGAGAACAATTTTAAAAACCATATTTGAAAGTATCTGCTTATTTACAAGCTGACATTTAAAAACTATAAGTTTGTTGTGAGGAGTTTATACAAAAAATAGAATATTAAGTTTTTAATCTTATTTAGGACAAAATTGACTAAAAAGCTGCATTGATAAAATAATGCACTATTCACATTCTAATTCAGTACAAGCTGTTCTAAGTTTTGTCTCAAAATCTTATCTGTTGTAGCTTAAAATTTATCACTGTTTTCAAATCAGGAAATCATCTAGTTTCCATGTATGTATTTATTTTTATAAATAAATTATTTTTTAATTTATAGAGTGAAGGCTTCATATAGAAAACTTGAAGAAAAAAGAAATGAATGAAAAAGAAGAATATTACTTATAATACATCACATAGCGATAATAGCTGCTATAATGTGAGGCACCCTTTTGTTTCTCTGACAGTTTTAGATATTAAAATGTATTATAATCATTCATAGATACACATGGGATAATTTTCATCAGCCAGGCTGTTTTATTTCAGATACGATTAACTCCCTCTCTTCCTTACTTTCTGCTTTATTTCAATATTGTAATACTCTGTCTATATGAAACCAACTCACTTTTATGTGTAAATGGAATATTTCTTCTTCTTCTTCTTCTTTAAATAGATTCAATCATCTCATTACTTCCCAGTATGAAAGCTCTGTTCTTGCTAAGCAAGGTGCCTTATGTACTGTTCCTCCAACATATCAGTCCCATTATTTCAGAGGAACTCAACACTTACTAGTAGGATGCCTTTACCCACAAATCAGTGTGCTATAGAAGGCCATGTGTATGGTCACAACATGCCATGGGTGTGAATCTGTGATATATTGCTTTTAAGTCCTTGGGACAACTACTTTTATTTCCTTGGACATTGGTTAATAATATTGAACCTACCAGCCTGTTATGATCATGTAAAAGAGATAGTAAGTGTGGAAGAACATAGTATAAAATTTGACAAATAGTACGTAGTATTAGTTGAATTTCATCAGGTCCCATAACAACCCATTCTTCAATCCTACTCACATATCCCACTTCTCTCTTGGCACCTTCTGTAACTACATACTGGCTGGACAATTGGAGGTATGTAATTTAACCTCAATGGGCATGTTTCCTTAGCTGAGAAACAGAAACATTTGATTGTATGGCTTTAGGCTTTTCTCTATTTGCTGTTTCAAATTTTCTCTCCCCATGAAACTGAACATGCCCTGACACTTTTAGTCTTGTTCTGCTTCCTCTTCCTTATGCTGCTCTCTTTACCTTTTTTCAGGTTTTAATATATTGCAAAGCAAAAGAGTTACTCAAAAAATGCTTGATATTAAAGCCAGCAATATGTTAGATTTTATGTCATAATGAAATTAGATAATGACCACTTGATGAG